AATGTCACTTACATTACAAAGTTTTTCCACTCTCATAGTGGGAGATACATTCTTCTCAGCCCTATGTGTGAATTACCTTTTTCTTTCCAGTGGCTCTTCTCTCAGCCTTGGATAGTTACTTTATATGTATGCACTAAACAGCATTCAGCTGAAGACTCCAAAGAAACCTCAAAATATTGCTGGAACCTACTGTTGGTACAACTCTCTGTTCTCTGTCATTCTGGCCTTCAAATTTTTGCTGCCTCAGCCTCCCTGAATTAACTCTACCACCTCAACTCAGAATGACCATGAGGCTGTATCTGCCAAATCATGTTTTCCTGCCCTCAGTGTTCACTGTCCTTTGTCACTTGTCCAGTGTCTGAACATTTTCTTTTTCCATTTCTGGCAGGAGAATAAATCCAGTTCTTAGTGGAAGTAGAGGTTGCCTGCCTCTGTAGAAGTCCTGATCCCTTATATTTCCATGAGTGCTTTATATGTAAAAAGAAGCTGCCCTAGCTTGAGTCATTATCCATCAAAAAAGAAAAAAAAAAAAGAGTATTAGGCAAAATCAGTAACTACTAAATCCTTCCACCCATCCAGCCTTCCCATCTTTGTGGAATATATATTGGAGAATGGGAGCCAAACTGTAATCAGTTTTGGTGGGTTTTTTTTTTGGTACTAGGGATCAAACTCAGGACCTTTCGCTTGCTGCAGGCACGGTGCCACTGATCTATGTCCCTGGTCCTGTAATAAGTTTTATTTAACATTTGTTTTTCATACAAACAGTATTTATTGAGGAGCTATTTGCCTGGCACTGGTCTAGGAGTTAGGATTCACCAGTGTGAACAGCACACACACAAGCTCTACTGTTGTAGAGCTTAACTTTGAATGAAAGGGAAACAAACAAAATAAATGATATCAGATGGTGAAAAACAAAGGATAGGAAGCGCTCTGAAAGTAGGCTTGGGAAAATGGTGCCTATTTAAAATATGCCGTCCAGGGGAGCCTGGGAGAAAAAACTGATAATTTAGGGAGAAGTGAAAATTCAGGGAAGATCTGAAGGAGATAAAGAAAACAGTCATGTGGCTATTTGTGTGAACAGTAACTGCAAAACATGATATAGGGCTAAGAAAACGTATGTGTCTAAGGGAGTGAGTGAGGGGAGTAGTAAAAGATTAGGCCAGAGGCAAGCGGGCCCATATCACGTTGGTGCTGATAAGCCTCCTGAGATAGGGAGGCCCTAGAGACACTGGAGCAGGAGAGAAACACGATCAGACACACAGTTTTAAATAATTTATCTGGCTGCTGTTTGGAAAATGAGTTAGAGGAGACAAAGTATAAAAGCATGGAAAGCAGTTAGAAGCTATTACAATAAAGGGATGATGAAGGCCGTACCAGTGCTGTAGCAGAAGAGATGGGGGAGAAGTGTTCACCTTCCGGTTACATGGGATACATGCAAGGGGCGCCCAACAGCCTCTCCTGACAGCTGGATGTGTAGAGAGTGGGACAAGGAAGAGATGAGAACAGTGACAAGGCATCTCACCTGAGCAACAGGAAGACTGGTTGCCATTTACTAAGAGGAAGAGGACGAGGAAAGAAAGTGTGGTTGGGAGTAGAGGAGAATTTAGGAGCCCAGTTGAAGGCTTGGTAGGTTTGAGGATCAGATTCAGCAGTTGGATATTGGAATCTGGGAATCAAAGGAGAAGTTCACACTGGGGATGAGCAGTGTCCAGCACATATGTGGATTTAAATCCAGAAAAATGAATGAGATCAGCTGGGGGTGAGCATAGATGGAAAAAACTCTATACATTGACAGAAAAAAGTCTATACACTGACTGAGACACCCAACATTTGCAAGTCAGGGAAATGAGGAGGTATCTGCTAGAGAGATGGAGCGGAGTGGTCATGGCCACAAGAAGGCGGTTGCAAAGTGTGATGACTCAGAAGACAAGGGAAGAAAGTGCTTTACCAAGTGGCATGACCAGTTGGGTCGGGGTTATGGATTGGTCAAAGAAGGCAGAACTAGCTGATAGCCTTGCAACATGGAGGTCACTGGTGATGCTTATGAGAGTTTTGATGGAACAGTGGGAACCAAAGTCTTATTAAAATGGCAGAATGAGCCTCACATGGCAGTGCAGGCCTGTTATCTCAGCATTCTGGGTGGATGAGGCAGGAGGACTGAAAAGTTCAAGCCTATATCCTACGCAACTTAGCAAGACCCTGTCTCAAAATGAAAAAAAATTAAAAAGAACTGGGGATGGACCTCAGTGTGAAGACCCTGGTCCCAAGCCACACTACTGAAAAATAGGTGGTGGGGGGGGGACAAAATGGGAAGAAAGATTGAGAAATTGTATAAACAAAAGTAGAGAAAGTAAATGGAGGGGCAGCTAGAGTGGAATGGGTGCTAATTTTCTAAGTAATATGGAGAAAGAAGAGACAACTATTGTACCAATATCCCTGAATAGGCAAAACAGGATGGAATCTAAGAATGCAAGAACAGGTATGAAATTTAGATTGGGCTTAGATCAGCCGTCCAAAAAAGAAGAAGAGAGGTAGAATGTGGGGACAGATGCAGTTGGCTTCGTGCATGTAGTGATGGGAGTTTATGAAAATTCTCTTTCAGGCATTTCTGTGTTCTTAGTGAAAAGGGAAACAGGATCATCAGTTGAGAGGGAGAAATCCAGAAGAAGATTTGGAAATTTATATAAAAAGAAGTTTTAAATGGTTCCTTAGGAATTAATTACAGCAAACATTAGTAGCCCACTTAAAGTTATCAATCAAAGCTAGGCCAGTAAACATGGCTGGGTGTTTTTTCCCAGCTCTGTTCCACTTGATAGCTGCAGCCGTGGACCAAGCAGATGGAGGCACCAAGACTCTTACAGCAAATTACAATGAACCAAGAGGGAAGGATGGAAGAATGAGTGAGGAGAGTGTATGGGTGATTTTAACATTAGGACTGGCTATTTATGTTTAGTTAGGAAGGATGTGAGATATAAGGGAACTGTGGTGCCCTGTAAATGGAGGATGTCTAGATGGAGTTCAAAATGTGCTCGAGCTCAAGGACTGGTGGAGAATGGAATTCTGGGGCTCAAAATGACGGAGGGAAAACAGCTATTGTTAGTGACTCAGGTCCACAATTTCCCCATGGGAGGAAATGGCGGAAGTAGTTTGGAGGTCAAGCTCACTGAAGGAGAGGAACTCAAGTAACTGAGAAGCCTGGGTACTGGAAGGAGTCTATGTAACCTTAAAATCACCAACAACTGGGATACATTGGTCTTGAAGAGAAGACGGATTGTAATCCAGGAACTGAAGAATCCAGGATTAAGTATGGAACAACAATATGGGAATAAATAGATGACTACAACAAGGAAGAATATACCACATATTTTACTTTTCAGATTTTAGGTTCTTATGTTGTTTTAAATCTATATTTATAATAATTATTTAGGCATGGCTCTGTCAGCCCTTTTGTACTACAACTTCCTCTCTTCTTCTGAAATGTCATTTCCTTTGCTCTCATTGTGAAAAATGTACAACTGATCCTGTCAACTATACCAAATGCCTAAATTTTAAAACAATATTTCCTGGAGCACAAGTCCTGTGATATATTTGGTGACACAGGGGTCACATGGTCAAATGTGTTTGAGGAACACCACAAAGCAAAGCCGCTTTTAGAAAAACCAGTTGTTAGAAATAAATTAGTTTAATTTCAACTCAGTTTTTTCCCCCAGATGAATGGCTACAGATTCCTTTCCCATATAATATCAATTAACATCCCAAGCAATGAGGATTCAAAGGCATGCACTTTGGGGAAGGCTGTATTAGAGATGTGTCTTTCTGATGGCCTCAAAATAGGTGAAACAGAAGCTGCTAGAACAAGATTCAAGGTATTGATCGAGGAACTGTCAGAGAACGCAAACCTTCATTATATTACTTTATAACAGTAGCCTCTTGTATTTCTAACATGGTGAGAAACAGGCATCTTCAGGCAGTGGAAGTTCTTTGAGATGTCTTTAAAATTGGTTTAGCATATTTCAGTCCCCCTGCACCTGTTCTGGCTTGTACCTGGATGTTCCCCCAAAGCCTCATGCTGTCATAGGCAGGGCTTTTAGAGGTGGCTGGATCTAGGGTATGTGCCGCTGGGGTCAAGGATGTGATGCTGGGATTGATTCCTGATGCAATGCTAGGATTAAGGCTGCCCCATCCAGGGTGTGAGTGCTGCCTGTCGTAAGGTTGGGGAGCCTGGACAAGACATAAAGGACAGAACGGTGGTCACTGCTTGTCAATTGCTGCTTGCTTCCTCACTGCTTTACTGCTTTGGTGTCTTCTTGCCTTTTGCGCTCCATAAACTGCTTCTCCTCCGCGATGCCCCTCTGCCATGCTACCGTTCATTGGAGCCAGCTGACTGTGAACTGAACCCTCTGCAAACTGTGAGCCAAATAAACCTTTTATCCTCTGGGTGTTGGATATTTTGTCTCAGCAATGAGAAAAGTAACTAAGACAACATCAAAATCAAAGATGCCAAAAAGATGCCATGGTCTTTGGATGAAGACCTCGACAGCCAACAGAGTGGAAGCATATAAAACCTCAGCTCGACAGGTGGCCCTTTGTTCCTACCTAGTATAACCCCAGAAGAAAGTTATTCAAGAAACAGATACTGCCGAGCATGGTGCCACACACCTATATCCCAGAGCTTCAGGGTGGAGGCAGGAGGATCACTGAGTTTGAGGCCAGCCTGGACTACATGAGTTCAAGGCCACCGTGAACTACACAGTGAGACCTTGTCCCAAAAACACAAAAACAAAAAAGAAACAGATACTCCTAACCCAAGTCAGGAAGACCAAACTTTTTCAAAATAATTATTACCTACTAGTATCAGAAAAGTGAAACAGATCTTAAGTTAACAATATAAGAGCCAAATAATGATTTTTTACTCTATCTGTTGCTCCAGGACCCCAGGATTGTGATTAGAGAAGGCAAAGTGCTGGAAAGAAGAATAAAAGCTTGAAATGTCAACTTACAAAGGCAAATGGCACCAGGTATGAATCAGGCAGGGATGATCTGAAAACAAACAGAAATCATTAATTAGTTTCATACAGTAGTTGCACATTCATCTGTTAACTGTAATTTTTTCTTTTGGTACTGGGGATTGAACTCAGGACCTTGTGCTTGCGAGGCAGATGTGGTGCCACTGAGCTAAATCCCCGGCCCTGTTTATTGTAATCTTAAGATTGTTGTAGATTCATATGCAGTTTTAAGAGAGCTTTACTCACTTTTTCCCAACAGCAACATTTTGCAAAACTACAACATAACCAGTGTATTATATTAACACAATTCTCAACTCTTTTGAGACCTTCCAGTTTGTCTGTGTAGACTGAGTTCTGTATGATTTTTCTGCACAGAGAGGCTCACATCTCCACTACCACCACAGTGAAGATCCTCAACAGCTACAGGGAGATGAGGGTCCCTCGTGCTGCTCTGACCATGTGCCCAGCCCCTCAGCACCGCCCCCTTGGGTCCCAGATCCCATGGCCCTCTTAACTTCAATATTAAAATAATAACACACATTTATAAGTATTTTACTCATAGCCTGTAAGAGATTATTACTCAGCTATATCTCAAATTATGCATAAAGAATTTTGCCTTCCTGCACTAAAGACTACGCTTTAGTTTAAGGAACAAATTTTTCTAAAAAGAAGTTTCTTCTTTTGCATACAGCATTCTCTTCAAAAATCAAAAGGTGAAAAGTAAGACAACTAGACAACTAGTGTTGTCTGAACTACCATTCTGTACTTTCAATATTTCTGCAATAAAAAATCTGTCAGTGCTCACTGTGGGACAACCAAAATATTTTATACATATCAAATCCTCATAACCCTCTGATATGCATAGCACTATCATCTCTGCTTGATCCAGGGGGAAACAAAGACACGGAAAAGTTTGGTAAGTTACTTAGTCACACAACTAGCAATAGGCAAATCTCAGTACCTGGGGCAGAGTTTTAGCATCCAGGGGAGTCTATACCTCAAGATACCGATGAGAATGAAATCAAACTATTTTGTGTTGTTATCACAAATCAACTCCACTTTAATACACTGAAATTGAATAAGGGAAATGCTCAAAACAATGATTTGTAAAATGGGAAAAATGCTTTGTTCAAATATGAAATGATCCCGGGGATTTAGCTCAGTGGTTCAGGCACCTGGATTGCAAGTACAAGGTCCCAAGTTCGATCCCTGGTACCAAAAAAAACCCAAAACAAACATGAAATGATGGAAAATTGTCAAAAACAAAGGGCAGAACACACTGGCAACAGACAGCTTGCCAGCCCTGAATTGCGAGGATTCCTTATATGCTGCTGATTGTCAGGCAGCAGTTTACACAGAGCTGTGATTACTCTTGAAAAAAATGTATTCAATTGGGCAAAGATGATGATGTGAAAATTGAAATTTTCAGTCACAGACAAAAGCTGCACAAAATTAGGCTGCTTAGCCAATAGTCATCTAAAAGACCAGAGATAATGTCCAGATAATAACAGTAGATATCTATTGTGATGAACATTCTGTGGTCTATTAGCTTAATGATATAGCATTATTACTGAGGATTAGTAGATATTTTCTTCTGTGAAACCACATAACGCATCTGTGATTAGCTCAATACTCAAAAGGTGCCCATTCTGCGATCCATTGATGCACATTGCCCAAATACTCTACTAGGCTTTCTTTACAGCACTAATTTTACAGACATCTCCTGGATGATCTAAGGTCAGGCAGTAGACAAGGGCACAGGACACATTATTAGCATTGTCTGATGTCCATACAACAAGTTACACACAGGAACCAGGGAAATGGAGCTCTGAAGTTCCTCTTCTGCATGAAGCCACACACTAACCACTGTTCCCAACTCTGAGATGAAATAAACTCATCATCTCATTAACATTTACAGATATCAAAACTTTTTCAAAATGCTTATGTTATGCAATTTCTTCAAACCACAATTTTGTTAATTTATTGTCACTACACTGTATAATCTCTCCCAGTTACTTAGAACGCACACTGTTTTAGAGAGGGGAAAGCATAGGGGAAAGTAAAGGGGTCCTCTTCTGCCCTCTCAGGCAACACCCCACACTACCTGCTCGCTGTGCCTCACTGAGAAGCCAAACACCAAGGCTGGGCCAGAGTGTGGCCTTGGGGGTCACTGCATACAGCTCCCCTTTCAATGATTCTTAAAGCCCATGTTTTTGTAAGCATCATAATTTCAGGGCAAGTATAAGGCAGGGGGCATAAGTATTTTATCTGAACGCTCCATCTCTAAAGAATGGGACAAAACAGATTTCAAAGTTCTAAGAGAAGGAAAATTGGAATTCCTTCATCAGTCGCATTTATGTGCAATTCTTTTCGCAGGGAGATATTTAGTAGCTTATTTTCAATTTAACATGATTTGCTTCTCTTATATCTCTTTCTAAAAGTACACTTTTTGTTTAGAATACTTTTTCTCCACACATAGAACATAAAACCTTACAGCTTCTTTTCCTAGTCCCAAAACACTCTCCCAAGAAGGCTTGGTAAGCTATAGTGATTATGCTTGAATGCCGTGTCCCTCTTACTCTACTGCTGAAGTCACCCAGAGATACACGGTATTAGCATAGTATTTGCCTGGCTCTTCATTTTAAAACATTCTACAAAATTACCTGAGTTCTTCATGTTTGTATGTCACCTCAGCTACAATGTTTATACCACTGGTTCTTTTCTTTTCTTTCTTTTTCTTATGCAAGGGATTGAAAACATGCCACCGAGCTACTTCCCAGCTCTTTTCTAATTTTTATTTGGGCACAGAGTATCACTAAGTTTTCAAACCTGCAACCCTCCTGCCTCAGCCTCCCAATGAGTTGGGATGACATGCATGTGCTATCATGCCCAGCTCACCGTTTTTCCTAAACTGTTAAACTCTTAGAGGACAGGAGCCACATCTATAAAACTAAGTTTACAAAGAACAGCCAGCCTTGCACAAATGTCCTACAAATGCCTTTGGTAGTGATGAGCACAATGACCATAGCGATAATGGTGGGCTGGCTCAACTTAACCAGAGTTCTGGTTTCCACCAACCTGGGCCCTGACATGAGGGAGTAACTGAGACCTACGTGAGAAGCAGGGCTCCATGTCAGAGGCTCCTGTGGGTACTTTCCTTTGAACTCCATTACCTGCGAGAAAGACAACAGCCATTTATTCATTCTCCTTTGAGGGTTTTCAAACTCTAAGACATAAAAAACTGACCTGCCTGTCTTCGTCATTTCAAGCTGCAATAACAAAGGACTGCAGACAGGTGACAGACACGGCATTTCCTTCTCACAGCTCTGGAGGCCGGGACTCTGAGGCATTGCAGTGGCAGGGTCATACTGTGAGGCAGAACCTCTCCTGGGTGGCAGACAGCAGGCTCTCGTGTGTCCTCCTCACATGGAGGAAAAAGAGCAAGAGAGCTTGTGGCCTCTTCTAACCAGGGCACTAACACCATTCATGAGGGCTCCGTCCTCAGAAGCGAATTGCTTCTCCAACGTCCACCTCAGAACACCACCATGAAGACCAGCATTTCAACACACTACTTCTGAGGGGGCCACACATTCAGTCCACTGCAATGGCCTTACGCACACGTGAAGGCAGTTCTGGCGGTTCTGACATACCCCCTAGTCTGCAAAATTTCATATAAAAAATGCCACACTCATTGGGCCATCAGACCCATTTGGGTTCTAGAAACTGCTCAACCACTTTGCAGCCTTTCCTCACTCCCTGTCACTTCACACCTTGTCTCTTAGCTTCCAGTGACTCTCCCCACGCCCAATCCTCATTCACATGTCCCTATCTCTGTCAACATCCTCGCCTCATGCTTCACTGAGAAAACAGCAGCATTGTATGAGCATCTGTCTCATCCTCCAACTCCAAATGCACAAACTTCCCTGCACCTACAGGAGGGTGCTAGCTTCCTAGACGCCTCCTAGATGCTGCCCATCTCCCCCTTCAAAATTCCTTGTACTTTACCATCCTTGCTCTTTCTGCTGGAGATACTCACCCCCAATGTACTACCATGCCCAAGTACTTCCCAGTTAACCTCCAACTGCCCCCGGCCCCTCCCTTTCTCTCTCAAACTTCTGAAAAGTTAGACAATCTGCATTTGCTTTCACGCACTTGTTTTCCAACCCAGTCCCCTGGCTCTTACCTCAACCATGGTCACTGAAGCCCTTCCGACTATCCTCATTTATAGAATCAGGACACCCGGGCCCAAGAGATTACTAGGTTGAGATAGTAAAAAGAAACCTTCCCTGGGAGACACACAGAAGCCAGGGCTGCCTCAAAGTGTTCTTTCCCAGATATCAGACCAAGGACTCCATCTTCCAGGGACTCTCTATTCCTCCTTGCTTATATCATCCCCTCTGTGCTAACGCTCAGACTTCCTCTTGGAATATCATTGTTTTTCATACTTTCAATTGAGGAAAAAACCTTATTTACCAATGAATGTGCTCTGTGTTGACCTCATGGTGTAAATTATTTTATTTAATTGTCCCAACAACTTGAGAATGGGTAGTTTTAAGCCCTGTGTCCAATTATAATCTTGGCTGAGAGGAAATAAAACCTTTCCTAATATGCCACATTAATAAACAAGACAGCAAGCATCTGACTTCTGACCATAACTGGAGTCGTCAGCCAGCTGCCTGTCCTTTGGGATGGCAACATCTCATTGTTCCTTAGTTGTTCTCATTAGTTAGTGACACGATTGGGGCATCACTGAGATGTGTCATGATTCCATCACCTCGTGAGGTCCAAAAAACTAGAACTGATGCAAATTTGCTCTGATGAGCAAACACATCAGAAACTGATTTTTTTATAATGGGACTTCATGAAAACTCTAATTGTCGAAATATGACACTTGGCTTCAGTGATCAGAGCATTTTCCCTTCCAGTTCTACCTCAGAAGCTGGCTTAACAAGCATGAGCTGTGACACAGCCCTGTGATCCCCCACATCCTGTTCTGCTTTCCAGACACACAGACACTGAGCTTGCTGGGAACTG